AAATGATTGAAGAAAGGCACAGCAGGGTCAAGGTAAGAATGAATTCTGTTAATATGGTATAGGTTGTGATAGGCAGATGCATAATTAAGTGAGAGTAAGAAAAAGTATGTCAAGAACACCACTACTTCTGGTACTTAAGCACATGCTTAACTTTAAGTTAATGGGGTTAAGGTATATGCTGAAGTGTTGAGCAGTAGCAGAGCCTAAGTGATAATGGAATCAGACTCACAGGACAAGAAATGCTTTTAACTAAGCTTTTGTAGCATTTGTGGCTTGGCAGAAAATAATGGTTTACCAGCACAATAAGCAAGCTGGTAAAGGCAGGAAGATGATAAAGATATCAGAAAATAAGTCAAGAAAGTGTAGGGTCTAATTTGTAAGCAATAACCACAGTTCAACCTAGAATCAAGATGTTCCAAAGGGAGGAAGTAGAAGGTCACAGATAAAGGACACAGCAGAGCAGAAAAGATATTTGATATGATGCATTAGGTAAAAATACAGAGCCGCTGAAAGGTGACTCAATTATGGTGGAGAAGCATATTCACATAAGGAAAATAATTGAGAGTGGTTGGGCTTATCAAACAGTGTATTTTAGTCAAACACCAGATAGTTGGCTCCATAGGGGAGTGAAATTTAATTTGCTATATACAGAAGGACACAGTAGATGATCTAAGGGGCCCTTTTTAGCTTTAAAATCTGTGAATCCATCAAAAAATATTAGGTACCAGAGGTCTCCTTAATCTAGCAGGGAAGGACATAACAAGAAGTAATATCTGGAAGTTAAAGCCAGACAGTCAAATTATGTAAAGCAGTTTTTTTAGCAGCAAGGGTGATGAAACATTTGAAAAAAAAACTACCAAGGGAAGTGGTGGATTTTTTTTTATTTTTATTTTTTAAATCAGTTGCCCTTTTTGGATCAAAACTAGAAAACATGTTTTAGTCGAGCACACTGCAGGATTAACTGGGTACATTTGTATAGCTTATGATATACAGAAGACCAGGCTAAGGAAGTGGACAGACATAAGAGGTCTATCTGTAGTAAACTGAACTGGTATAATGTGCTATGCTATCTCCTCCTGTACTGGTGTAAGAGCAGCTAGACCGTTGCAACTTTAAATCTGTTTTATTCAGGATTAAATTGCAGTGGTTTCGATGACATATCCTGGTATAGGAGCGGGCAAACATAACCGTGATGCATGCTTCCAAGTGGCAAGTTTCACTTCCCCCTTTAAAATGGCTTAAATCTACATTCTTCCACAGCCGAAATGATCTAAGCTTCCCATTAAAATCTGTGCCTGCATTTCCGAATCTTGGAAAGGCTAGAGCGGTCGGAGTCAACTGCGTAGGAGGGTTGACTGGCAGCACTTTCTTCCTCTTCCAGCAGAGTGATTGATATTATTTAAATATCCATTGAGGTTAAACAAGAGGAAAAGACAGAGGTTGTTACTGTTTGTTTGTTTTAATCAAAAGCCAAGCATAAGGCAGTTAAGCACTCTGACTTGGGCAAGCCTGTTTATATGGCAAGCCAACCTCAATCATTGAGGGAGGCAGTGCAGGGCCAGAAAATAAAAATACTTTCCCCACAACTTTGCTCAAGAAAAGGAAGTCTGAAGTTAGTTCATGATGTGAGGCAAGGATTTTCCTCATCGGGACCTTCAGACTGTGAGCTTGGGAGTGACACACGGACGTTGGTAACAGGTATGTATCCTTTGTATGCGATGAGGAACAAGAATTAGCTCATTAAAAGAAAAGTAAAAAAAATAAAATCCAGGTGTCTTGAGGGAGTGAATTTACAATTCAAGGAAAAGCTAAATTAGGAACATAAGAAGAACATAGGAACAGAAGCCGGGAGTAATACTACTCCATCTTAAAGTAGGTAGGGTTTGGGTTTTTTTAAGGACCCTTCTACTTTGCAGTCAAAACATATTCAATTATCAGTTTATCCCTGTTAATTATGTTAACACTGCCATTAGCCTAAATAGGTATCTCCCCTCTCAGCCTTTACCCATGCCATATATGTAGTCAGTAAGCAAATCTCCTCTCAGCCTTTTTTTTTGCTAGCCTACATAAGCCAAGCTCTTTTAATCTCCTCTTTTAAGATAAATCTCTCCAGTGCCCTGATCATCCTATTAGTTCTTTTCCATATCCCTTCCCATTTATCTTTCTTGAACATAGGAACCAGAATTGTCCGTGGGATTCCAGGTAAAGCTGACCAGTATAAAAACACCCTCATCTTTTTTAAACTCTCTATTGCAGCGACTCTCAACAAGGCTATGACCCCCTGGTGTGCCTTGAGATCCTTTTACAGGTGACGTGCAAGACAAACATCTACACGATTTACAAGACAAACCCAGAGATTTCAAGGAGGGCTCTCTAGTGTCAACGACATCCTGGCTTGTGGTGGCCGTTCCAAGGCCTTTGCAACAAAAGACTTCTCTGTTATGTTTCAAAAAATGAGTGAAAGCCAAGAGCCAGCTTTTTCCAAGGGGTTCTTGTGTCTAGAAAGGGTGAGAACCCCTGCTCTACTGGAAATACAGCTCCTTGTACACTCTGGTTTAAACTTGCCTTCATCACATTGGCAGCTCATAGTTGTCTAGTGATGCATAACTACACTGAGCTCCTCCTCCTGGGTTGTTTCTGTCAAATTGTCTTTTGTTCCCAAGTGCACGACCTTGAATTTTGCCACTGAATTTCATCTCATTACTACTATTCTAGTCCTCAGGATCATCCAATACTTTTTTCTATGGTACCCCAAATCCTTATCTGTATTGACAGTTGCTCCCCACTTTGCCATTTCAGCAAACTTCCCATTTGGGCAAAGGTCACCAATGAAAAGATTAAACAAAACCAGTTCCCAGGGCCAATTCTTGAGGACCTACGCTAACAATATCCTTATAGTCATCTGATGCTTTCCTTTCCAACATTACCCATTGCCCTCTAGCAAGTTCCTTTTCCACCTTGCAAGTCTTTTACTAACTGCCATATTCTCTAGCGGAAGTAATGATTTCCCATGTGGAGCTTTTAAACATTTCACTGAAATCCAGATAGATGAGAGAAACCATAGTACCTTTAAGTGCAAAATCGGGTCTCCTATCAATGATCTGTATCAGGTTAACCTGTTACAACCTACCTTTGGTAAACCCATATGGCATGTTTTCTCATTTTCCATTTATCTTCATGCCTAATTATTTTTTCTTTCAAAATATTTTCTAAAGGCTTGTATGCTGTTGCCGTCAGGCTAACAGGGCTGTAGTTTCCTGGGTCCCTTTTTTTCCCTCTTCTTAAATGCAGGTGCTACATGTGCTATTCTCTTATCAGCTATGACTTGACAGATTTATTAAAAATATCAGGTCAGCAAATATCTGTATCAAAGGAACAAACGTTTCATATGAAAGTCTTGCCTACCGCATGCATCAGTGGAATGATTTAGGTTCCAAACCTGAAAACACTTTTGCACAAACCCAAGTTAAAACACGTGAGTGACTAGTCCCAACAAAATCAATCCGGCAACATGAATGCTTGATGTTAAATGTGCATATTTGCGGCGCTACAGCCTTTATCTCTCTCTTTTCAGAACTGTTTGCTGTAGATATTATTCCTTTCATTTCCTTTTTAGTTTATCCATTTATTGACTTCCTGGAAACAAAAGGCTTTGCTGAGCTAAGCTGTATCAAAATACATGTCCACTGGGGAATATGACCCAAGGCCATTGCACTGAATGGGCCTGTGATTTCCTCGCCTAAAAAGTTAAATATTTGTTTTATTTGCATGTAAAAAAATAAAAAACCATGTTCAGTTTTACAAAGATTCCTCCTAAGCATGAATGGCCACTGGAATCTGGGATTTAAATCCTACCCATATCTCACAAGGCCTTGTGGAGTTGCCTGCAAGCTCCTAGCCATGAAGCTAACAGAAATGGCCTTTGTTGCAACATGGACCATTGTCGCTATATTTTTTGTTAGGGGACGAAAATGAGCTTGTATTACCACAAAAGCTTTTTGGTTGATATCTGGTTCTACTGAATTAAACAAAAATTACATCGGGTGCCTGTACACGAGCACGGAGGCTGCTCTGACGTGCTGTAATTACAGCACATCGAAGCAGACTCGATTAATTGAGTCTGCTGGAATGTGGCAATTACCACGCACCGGCAGCCTCCTGCACCTCGTGCATCAGCATCCGCGCGCTTCAAAATGCTGGCAGGGGTGCTGGAAATAAAGCTCGGTTAATTAGAGCAGCTCCGGGAGGAGTCTAATTAAAGTGCCACCCCCCACCCCACCCCCAAAGCATGAATTAAAAGTGCCCATTGACTTCACCAGGGCCAGATTTTTACTACTTCCAGACTACTGATTTTCTCTAAGGCAGCGATTCACAACTGATTGGCTACGGAGGTGCCATAAGTGGGCCAAAAAGGCAGATATGTGGTTGGAAAGGCCAATCACTCCAAACATTAGTCTCCTCCAGCTGCTAAAACGAAACAAAAAAATATCTGACAACAAAATCAAAGAACAAACCTTAGAACAATCGAGGGAACGTGCACCGGGCATTAAATACCATTTAGTCCGACCACCAGTCCAGCATCATAAAGGAACATAAAACAATAGACACTGCGTATGCAGGACTTCCACAAAAGAAGTTTATTATTATTCTTTTGTTACTCCTGTGCCCCCCTATCCTCTCTGCAACAGCAGCATAAATATTGTTACCATAATATAGCTGATGATGCTGGTGCACACATGAGAAAGTAAATCAAAAGCCATTTTAATTTCAAACTCCATTAGAAACACAGGAAAAAGATCAACATTTATGAAATGGAAAGGAAAAAAATGGTATGGAAAGAATTTTTATTGTTCAAGCTTCCAAGAGGGTATTACAAACAATGGAGAGCAAAGTAAAGCTAGAAATGAAATACTTGACAGCATCTTTTTAAAAATTACAGCTAAGAAACCTAATAAAAGTTGAATAAACAGTTACTAGAAATAAAAATTTTACACATATGATCTTTGTCTGGGATTTTTATTTCTTTAAAATAATCCATACAAATGGTTACAGTCACAAACATGATTTTAACCAAAAATATTGCTAGCCTACCACATTACCAGGAAGGAATCAATGTAGGCAATGAAATGCTGCTACTTTTCAGTAGTCTAGTGCCTTTTTCGCATACCACCAATAATATATACTTTAACTGGTGACAAAAAGCACAATGCTCGTTTATACAAAACCTTTATTTTCCTCAAAATCTCTTTGCAATGTTGTCTTCATTTTGAAATAAGGGAATTTATGCCAAAATTAGGAGAAACTGTTTCTCTTTTGTTTACTAAATTATTCTAAAAAATAAGACAAGCAGGTAGAAAAAACAATGCACTGTGTGGTGTAGAAAGAAAAATGGGCAAAATTTATTGTCCTGAGAAGTTTGCCAACTGCCTCATTTTTGGGCATGTTTTAACATATAAAAGAAAGGATTTTTAATCTCAAAATTGGTTTGCTGAATGCCTCCCTTATGGTTTTTTTTCTTGTTGACAGCTAAGCAAACAAACCCTTTTTAATGTTCTAAAAACTGTACACAGACAAGTACATTCATGATATAATTAACTACTAACTTTTCTTGCTTAACAAAGAACCCATAGGACACAGAAACAGTGAATCAGTCCACTGGACAGGGACAAACTACAATTTATACGGAGGAAAAAAAGTTTCCAAATCTTCGTTTTTGACTCCCACCTTTTCCTTTTATACTGTATATTGGACCAGTTTCTAAAACAATAATCGTCTCCTCCTGTAAGTTCATGGTTTTTTGCCTTTATTCAAAATCCAGATTTTTTCCACACGCTCTCTCTGAAGTTGAAATCTCCAATGCTGGGAATGCTGTTTTCTTAGGCTACAATTGGTCACTTGGGTGGTCTCTATCAGCTTCTGGTTTGACTGTTTGGCCGGGGGAAGGAGCATGGGGCGGGTGAGCAACAGCAGGGAGGCCGTGTGATAAAGACATGGGGTTAGGGACTATTCCTTCTACTGCGGTAGGTATGCCAGTGGGAGCCACGCTTACAACACCAGGAGGATACCTGCTAAGAGAGGAAAGTGAGAACGTTCATTAAAACCCAGAGACGGCTGATAGGAAAGTCCACCTGGGCTCCTGCAAAGAGAATTGCAAAGGTTTTTGTTGCATTTGCAGAACCAGAGGTGTCTGTAAGTCTCAAGATGACACCGACCATGCAATAATGCAATTGCTGCTGTACTTAACTAAATTAGATACAGGGATTTGCTAATTCCTTCGGATGCCAGATTTGTTAGTTCCTCTGGCAGCCTAAATGACAATGAACAACAGGAACGGAAACTGAAAGTCGTTTATATCTCTGAAGTTAAAACCTGAATTAACTAATTCACTGATGACTTTACTGGGAGTCTAAATCCTTTGTTTCCCGCCACATGACTTTTCTGAATTTCCCCTTTTAGGCCAAAGCTAATCAAATGATTTTTGTTTCTTGTGTAGTTCTGAAATTGTGAGTTGGGCCCCCGACAGATGTTAAAGTGTAGGCACGATGGGATCTAATGTGGGATCTCAATACTTACACTTCCTGCCATGCCACATATGCATGGGGGAAGGTGTGACTGTGGGATCCTGCAGCAGATCCCATTGTGCCATATTGCCAGTGGGAAGCGTACACTTCCCCAGCTGGAAACCCTGATCAGCTGAGTGGGGTGTCCAGACATTGGAGCGCATGGTGTGCCCCTGTCGGACAGATCCAATCAGCTGAGGGGCCTCCAGAGCAAATGGGAGTCTTGAAAGGCTCCAGTGCAATACAGAGGCTGGTCGCTGGCCACATGTGCAATTAAAAGCTGTAGTAAGAACTAGCACAAAGTCATTACACATACCTTGTTGGGTAACTTTGTGGCTCATTCCTTGGTTTATCACTCCATTAACTGATTGAACATTAACCAGATAATCTAGCCTTAAATGTAATGTCTATCAGGGGCCTTGGTTTTAAGACACTGCAAATCTGAAAAAAATTACATCTCCAAAAGCAAACATTTTTCAAAAGCATTGACAGCTAAGGGTGCAGCTGTAGCACTGCAAATTTTAGTCTAAAACTGGAAAAAAATCAGACCCACACATTTGTTGCACTTCAACCTTGCCATAGTTCTTGCCTTTAAAAAGGCAGGTGCCTGTGGCAAACTGGAAGGAACAGGAGAAGGAGGAGCACAAATGCAGAATTATGCAGTCCATCATTTTGGCTACTCTTTCTTTCATCAAGCATCCAAGTCTAAGTTTTTGGGGGTTCAGAAGAGACTAACTGCTTCATGCTGGTTTCACAGTGGCTGTGATGTTAAAGGTAAAGAAAACAGGAAAACCTCCGGCTCATAATTTCTGCATTCTGAGGGCGTAACTTAATTAGCGCTTGCTACATTTAAACAACAATTGCATGTTTTATCCTCTTTTGTGTTTCTTACAAAAATGTTTCTATCTTCAGCCAAGTACCTACAGTTCACCTTCAGGGTTATCTAATTCTAGCCACTTATTTCATCCTTTGACTCACTCTCCCACTCCCTCAAAAACATGCACTTATTTCTTCTTTCCTTAAACTGGTGTTCTCTTTATCCAAGACTTTTAAGAGAGTGTTTATTCATTTTAAAAGTCTAAACATTTAGGGCTGTTATTTACTCACTGTGGCATTTGATACCCTATTATTCATTTAAGCTTAAATGGCAGCAATTGCAATTGCAGCCTATTGAAACTTTTTGAACCGGCATCCAAAACTCTGTCGTTGATGTCCAAGTCGTTAGAGAATTCCAAACCGAATGCCATGGGCATTTCACCGCACTCCAATTAGCTTTTCTGAAACTTTTGTGTTGCTTCCCCCTCTAAACCTGCTTAAGTGCAGTGAATGTCAGGGTGGAAAAAATCTCCAGCATCCAGAGAACTTGTAGAGGAAACAAAAGATTACATGAAAACAGCTTTTCTCCTTCCATAACCTGAAACACATGGAAGCTCTCCATCACAAGCATAATGCAATGGGAACCTGGCCTGGCTTTCTGGTATCAAAAGGCAGACCTGGGAATTTGATATTACCCTGGTCACCCTGAGGGGTTGGATATTTGTATCTTGAGGGGAATCACAGTATCTATAGGTTGTGACATTCATCCCCCTAAACATACACACACCAGGTGCCTCCAAAGAAACTTTACAAGTATCAATTTACAAAATTTCCGGTGTAAACTGCTCCTCCGGAGAGTTTTTCTGGAATTACTTTGCAATTGCTAATGAAATTAGTTGTGAGTTTCAGTAGTATAATTTGAATCTTATTAACCAAATTGGCTTCAATTCCTGAGAATGTGATAGGGTATGGTTTTGTTTATTCAAATTTGATTTTGAAACTGGTTCATCCATTCCTGCACGTATTCTGTACAAAATTTCAAGCAAACACCATGAAGGCAAAAATCCTCAGTTTAAAAGACCTGGTATAGCGTCGGAAAAGACACAGCATAGCAGCCTCTTCCAAGAGAAAGAATTCACAGCTTCCAACCATCACCTCCATCAATCTGCTCCTGGAAACACCTGGGCCCAGCAGTGTGACCTGTGTGTCAATACATTTATGCTTGATGAATCAGGGCAAAAATAAATCACAGGGTTTCTCCCAGAGAGAATGTCCTGGCAGGCAGCCTTTCCCTTTTAACCCAGATACGTTCTAGGGGAGAAGCATCTGCCGATCACAGTCATGTTCTGACCGCGTCGGAAAGTCAACTTGCGTAGACAAGACCCGTATTACTTCAAGAAAGTTATTCCTTTCAGTGCTGGCCCAGGAACCCCTAATCATTGTAGAGCTGTGATACTAATCTTGACCTGCAGATCCATTGCCTCTTCATCCCAAATATTTCTCATTAATCTAAAATGGCATCCAAGCATCATACAATTATGATTTGTCCTGAAATCAAATGATGCATTGCGTGAGCCAAAATCTCAACGGCATGCCTCATTGTCGGGGTGGTAGTTTCCTCACTGAAAGCATCCCTAGTTTCCACTGTATTTTGCCATACAGTTTTGGTAAACTCCATCTCCAGTTACTTCAATATTGTATTTTCCCTGCTACTACTGTATCAGTGTTTTTCTAATCTCATAAGTAACCTTATCTTTGAAACCAGGCAATGTAAATTCAGCAGCTTTTATACACTCCCAAGCACTGGCAGCCTCCCATTGCTTTGCTGTTTCCCACTCCCTTATACTGTTAACCAGCTGATGCTCCATCCTTCAGAATGCCAGGCCCTCTTCCAGTCCTTCTCTGCCAGGAGCAATAATCCCAACGACTACCCGGATAATGTCTGTGTCACAAACTAATCTATCTGCTCAAGCTGAATTTGAGATGCAGCTTTTATCTTACATTTCCCATTCTGCTCTTCCTACTTTACAAAAGATGCTCCCAGTGCAGAGGGTCAGGGGATAAGACAACTGTTAAACAAGTTTTAGTGTAATCTTCTCCATCGTCTATATTGCAATACTACCTAGTCCCAGTGCCATTGTGATAGGTGCTGCACAAATATAACACACATCTGTCTCTGTCCCAAAGGCTTATAAGTTAAGTATAAACTGTTTTCTTGGATTGCAGATAGATAAATCAATAATGGAAGAGCTCAGCACACTACTCTCTAATTGATTCCAGAATAGATTACATTAATAATATTTAAATGTGCATGTGCTGTTCACCATCGGCATCTGGTAGAAGACAAAAAGACACTGCTATCCCTGTAAACCGCACAATATTTGTGTCTTGTTTCCATGACTATGTACATGGCTATATCCCATACTCTGACAAAGAAAGCAGTAGTACACTATCTAGTAAGAAGTCCGATAATGAAAACACAACAATAACACACAAGTAATAGATGCTGCTTCTGCTTTGCCCCCAGACTATTGCAAATAAGTTCTTTCTCAGGATCACCATTAATCTTTACCCCTGGAAGAGGTCCTGTTTGTTTGACCTCTTTAACAGACTGCCTGTCCTTGTTTAGCAAACAGTTTTCTTTTCTGCAGGATTTCCTCATTTTCAAAAGCCATTTGATCTGGGTTATGTTCAGCTGCTGATTGCTGAATGTTCTTCGCTGCCTCTTATTACAACACACTTGATTCACTTAAGAGTTCAGTCCCTTATCACAACTCAAATAATGATATATCCAGGATTAAATATTCTCGTTAGTTTTAATACGTCAAAAGATCTATTTGCATTTTTGACGTATAAATGATCATCCCAGTTCCTATCTGCTGATACAATTACATGAAGATAATATGGCTATTAGCACATCTGAAACATCATGCTTCTCGTGAAAGGCTTAACTCAACAGGCAGAATGATAATCTCATTTTGGGAAAAGAAGATAAGACAGAAATATTTGTTTCAAACAATCAATTCAACTTCTGGGTTGAAGGCACAATGGAACTTAACACTAGCAAGTATGGTTATTGAAATTCATTCTTTCATAAAAAACCAGCTTCAAATTTATATATTCTGTATCACCAGAACCACTACAGCAATTGCTCCCAGGGGCCTTTCTTTAAAAAAAAGATTGTTCATTGGTTTGTAAAGACACAATTTATCAAGTTATTTCAGAATCCCTCTGCCAAATTAAGGACTCGCAGGGTACTTTGTGCTCATTAATCATCAAGTAGTATTGCCCTCACTACTAAATTTAACACAGCTTAACTAAATGCAAAGCTTTTTCTATATAAGGAATCGTTCTAAATTTTCCTTTGAAACTAGGAAGTGCAGTTGTAAAAGTTTTACAGTTTTACTGGGGTTTTTTAAATGAATGTAAGCATGTCTCATTTTCCTATTCCCAATAGTATTTTTGATATTTAACTAAGTGTTTTGACAAAAGCAAACCATAAAAAGGGTGTTTTGTGCTCTCTGCTTATATGGCTCCACTTCAATATATAATAAAACTCATGTCCTATAAAATTTTAATCATGTGCTTTACCATGTGCGTCGCAATCCCAACTGAAGCCAAAAGAACTACTCACTGGGTGCATCCACACGTGTGTTTTACTGTGCAGTTGATTAAATAGCTCTGCAGTAAAGTGTCACAGTCTACACATGTGTCGGAGCAAGTACCATCAGGGACAGTATTATCTTATGGCAGAATAATTAAGTGCAGCAAAATGCCAGTGTAGATGGTGACAGGGGCTAGCTGGGGCATAAGGGTGCTAAAGTGCAGGGCCTGCTTGCCCCCTAGCCACAACTGCAGTTTTGGCACTCTTGTGCCACAGCCAGCCCCTCTACTGTCTGGCGCTGCCACCCAGAGCCCAGAGCTGACCTTCTGAGCCTGTTGCCAGCCCAGGGCTGCTCCACCCGGCTCAAACCACTGCTGTCCCAGACACACATGTAGACACTGCACCCAGGAGCAGTTGACTGGCACAAACTGTTCTGGAGTTTATCATGTCGCATTAATTGAATGTGTAGATACAGTCACAGTGAGTACAGTTACATCTGCACTTAACTTGTCAGTGAAGCAAACAAAAATATCCTTACTCTCTGGAAACAGAGAAAGAAAACAAGGAACCCAAGTGAAGAAGATAGGAAGATGAAGAAGAAAGTGAAGGACTGAAGGAGGAATTGTGGCGGTTTTGAACCATCTCCTTTCTGGAAATGTTGCCTTTCATTGCTGGTTTGTTGCCCTCTCAGTCATTTTAACCCAACTTATAGTGTAAAATTGGAACTGGGAGCTCAACAACTGGAGAATTCCTATTTGCATTAAAAAAATCAAGTCATCTGATGTTGGTGCCTAAACCTGAACAGCTGCTGTTTGGACATTTGGGATGAAGGGAAACAGCAAAAAAAGATCCAGGAGATAAAATAACAAATAAATAAATATAATAAAAAGAATGGTTAAAGATCAGGTATAGACAGATTTAACTATTTTAGCAGTATCAAATTATACCAGTTAAGCTGTTACAATAAAACGGTTACAACCCTCTACTCTTATAATGATATACGAGGAGCAAAACTGTTTTAACTTGGTCGGTTTCATTTAAAATGCAGATCAAAAAGATTTAGTTCCTTATACCACTGACCCTTATGGACGTAAGAGTTATATCGTAACAACGGAAACGGACCAGCACTCTTAAGGGACGACTCCCCACCCCCTTTTAAAGTGGTGGAAATGTATGCCTGTTATAAACTTCACCCTACTTCCTTTTATTAAGTACTATGAACTGCTTTTCACAGTGGAAGGCTACACTGAACAATTCTAACAAGAACTTTTTAAGGAACTCTACAAAAAGAAAAGACAAGACAAAAGAATAAATATACACTTATGATGGTATTTGTTCCCAATATATTTATAACAGCAATAAGCAACTGCAACTTGTGCATTAGTGAGCTATTTGTATTTTCCTTAGATGGCTGAGTTCAAGAGGGATGCTAGCAATAGCTTATTATTCCAACTCTGCTGTGACTTACTGCCACATTATTACTTTCAGCAAAATGAGCATTAGCTTTTACTGAAGTCACTGGAGGCTACCAGGATTGTTCCATTTGCATATACAATATGCATTGTTTCTGATACCGGCATTATTAACTTCAGAAGAAAAGTAGATAAATGGATTTATCCCAGGACTGATTTCAGCCAATCATGAAACAGAATTATTTTCATGAATGTAATAGTCATAAGAACAACCTACTCAGGCCTAATCTGAAAACATTTTCATAACAATTCAATTTATTAAATGGGAACTTTTTTCTTTAAACTGGAATATTTTGCTCTGAGCGCAGGACCTAATTCTTTTCCTACTGAAAGATGCTTACCTGTACGCAGCACCATTAAGCTCTGGATGAACAACTCCTGGATCCATGCTGGCCCAATGTGTAGCTGCAGTCAAATGATCTTTGTTAACACAGTTTTTCAGGCTGTCTGGAATACGACCTAGGTGGGAAATAAAGCATGAAATAAAACCTGGATCTGTCAGGTATGACAAAGAATAAAATATATTAGACGGTAAACCTAGCAATTTTCAAACAAAAACTGGGGCTCAGATCAGAGACTTATTGTTCCCTTTGCCATGGCTCTGTCACCACTTCTTGAACTCCAAGTCGTGTTCAGTTGCTCTCTCCTTTTCTCTCCTCTATTCAGCTTCTTGATAAATCTTGTCACTGTTTTACCCACATCATCTTGAAATTCACACTTTCCAAACTGCTAAAATCGGTTTTCATATACTGGTTGCTCATCAGCTTACATATTAGAGTACTGGTCTCTCTATTTCTAAGCTTTCCTTTCTGGCTTCTCCTCCAGGTAACCACTTTTGAGAATCTAGGATGAAATCAAGAACCTTTTGAAGTCAATGGGAGTTCTGCTCATAGCTGTTTTATTCACTCATCATTACTGCTCCTTAATGAGACAGAGAACATTTGCATCTCTTAATCCTCATATAGCTCTTTCCATCCTAAGGAAAATTTAAACATGTCCATGGACTCCTTTCCATGAGCATTTTTGCCTAAACAGTGGTCTGCCTAAACCTTTTCAGATGCAAGCCACCCTTCATTAGACTCAAGGTATCATTGGTTAGACTCAAGGCATCCCTCAGAACATGTCAGCTCTTTATTTTCACTTGTTTCTTTGACTACAGAAAATAATAGAGTAACGTTTCTGTTGCAAACAACTCAAACCACAACACATCAGAATGTTTTTGACACTATGCACTCCTATCTGGGTTGATCTTGTGAATCATGTTCGCACACCAAACAGCAGTAACATTGTGTGGCACCCCACAGCACCTTTGAAAGGATCTCAAGGCACTCTGGTTGACAATTACTAGCCTAGATTTCATGCAGCCTTCAAATTACAATTATTCTTCAGCTTTTAGGGCCCCATGCAATGCTCTCTGAAGACAACCTATATATCTTATTTAATTAGTCTATAAAGATTCATATCTACCCTGCTTTCTGAATGGAAAGACTGTCATCTGACTTGAAAGGAGTGCTGGGCCAGTTCTTCATCATCAGTGTTTGGGATGGTCTTGACTAGGGGTGTGCAAAATGGGCCATATTTGATTCGGATTCGGCCTGAAACGGGGACAGTGATTCAATTAGTTGATTCAGATCACTGTCCCGATTTGATTTGGCTGAATCCAAATCTGAAGATTCGATGCTAATTTGGAGAACCAGCAATTTGGCCACAGACACAGCTTTAAACGTTTTTTCTACATACCCCAAGATGCTAGGCACGGCTCATGATCTCTGCAATGGTGGGGCAGATGGAGCGTCCCACAGGAGCACGGGGGGTGGGGAACCCTGCATACTTCCGGTGCACTTCTGGGTCCACCGCTGAGTGCATGGGGATCCCCCACCCACACCTCCTCCAGCCCGATGATGGGCTGCAGGGGGATCCTGGGTGCCCTCCAGACCTAGGAGACACCAGTTGCCAAGCCAGGGGGACAGGGGGATGCGGGGGGGCACGCTCTCCAGCAGACCCAGAAGTGGACTGGAAGTGCTTCTGGTCCACTTCCAGGTCTGCCGCTGAGCAGGCTGGGGGACCCCCCCCCCCATGCTCCTGTGGGACGCTTCATGTGCCCCACCATCTCAGTATTCAGGAGCCACCTGGTACCTTGAGGTATGTAGAAAAAACATTTAAAGCTGTGTCCCTATGTCCGAATCGTCAAATCTTTCTGAAACTCTCCGAACTGATTCGGAGAGTTCTGATTCAGTTCAAAGTGGTCCTGATTAGATCGGATTCAGAGATTCGGTCACCGAATCGAGCCAAATCTCCGCTGAATCAAATCAGCGACTGAAGTTTTGCACAGCTCTAGCCTTGACTGCTTTCCATACAACTGTCCCATCCTCTATAACAGTGGTTCTCAACTGGAGTTCTGCCAGCCTGCAAGGGAAAAGCCACGGTTTCCCACATTTTTCTCCTTGAAAGGAAAATCAATTTTTAAAGTTTATTGATTCATTTTTTAAATCTGTTTATGACCCTTTCATATATTTTTGCAACCTGCTTTTGGGTCACGAGCCTCAGGTTGAGAAATGCTGCTCAATAAAATACATGGGTGTGAGTAGCTCCCACTGAAGTAATTGGTTCCCATTTCTCTGACCGAGTCTGCACTAGAGCCTCATTCCTTTGATGATTAGAAATCATCTTTTAATTTCTAGCCTAAATTTATTCTTGGCCAGTTTATACCCTTTTGTCTGTGTGCCTACACTGTTCATTAGTTTAGAGTTTTTTTCCCTGCTGTGTGTTTACTTCCTGCTGTATTTTTAGAGAACAATCTATTCCTACCCATTCTTAGTCTTTGTTTTGCTGGGCTACTCCAAGCTCCATGAATTTCCTTTCAAAAGTTAGTACCTAAAGAAATGTGTTTATTTTCTACTTATTCTGCAATGTGTTCCCTTGTCACTCTTATTTCTTGCCTTCTCAAATTCACCTATATGTAATGTTTGGTGCATTTCTTTACTTATTACTTTGCACATTGTATATAAGCACAGCCACACTAACCCTCCCCCTGCCCTTTTTAAACAACATGTTCTTCACATGGCATGCACGTTGTTGAGGCATGCGTTCACTTATTGTCCATCTTCTTCTAATTATAACCCCGCTCTGTTCCCCCTGTGACTTTTGCATATTAAGTTTCATCCCACACTTCCTGTATCTGTCCTACATTTGTTTCATTAAAGTTCAACGTCTTTCTCACCTCCCTAATGTTGGCCTTGATTTAGTCTTACTACAAACCGTGTGCAGAAGCTTGAAGAGATGACAGCTTCAATATAAAGCAATGATTCCTTACTTGGATATTCCACTTGCCTGCTTTAGAGAAATAAGTCATTCTGTCTCAGGTAGACTTGTGTGCAGAACCCTTAGCACTACACCACCTGTTCCTCTATATTGCTGATTTCTATTGCATCCCCATCCTGAAAAAGATTTGCTCTAGACAGGCTGTCCGACTGATCAGCCAGTCTAAAGAACAATGTTGTGGTCTGCACGTCCTTCCCAGAGATAAAGCCTGTAACTGTTCTGAACAAATTCAGTCTCCTTAACTTACAATGCTGTCATTTGCCTTTTTTCTAAGGCAGAGTAATGTGTTGCAACTGAACCACCCCACAGGTGAACTAGATGCCTACTGACTGAAGGGCACTCAGGGTGCGTTATGCAGAGATAAATCACGACCATGTACTAAGGATCTGGCATTAGTGCTTAGTGACTCATTTTATGCAGACTGCTACCTTTTATTTTCAGCTACACGGGATACAAACTAAAGCCCACGCTTTGCCTCATTTTATTTATTAGCATTTCATACTTAGGGCTTGACAGATTTTTTTTTTCCATAACAGAGAGAGAGGGAAAG